CCGCCCAAGCCAAATGTTCCACTCACAGTCCGATTTCTGGCCCATGACGATTTCACCAAGCACTGCCAACAATGGCTCCGAACTACCATTCAGCAGCACAAGCGCCCCTCCACCTCCCCTCTCACCGGCTACGCGAAGCCGCACACAAAACACTCCGTTCCCACCTACGCAACCACCGCACATGGGAAGAAACCCTCTCCTCCCCGCCAGACCCTGCAGACCTCCCCTGTGCATGTGGCCATCTCCGTACTCTCCTGCAGGATCCAGACACCCCCACCATCAGTGGCCACTACATTCTCACACTTGATCAACTCCAACTTCCTACACATCTCAGTATCTTTCTCAACGCCAACATGAACAGCACCTACTACCCGAGCAAGGCCAGATATTTCCTCACGTTCCGGACGGCCTACACGAAATGGCTCAAGCTACAAGGACTCCCACCATCCCTTGTCCAACACTTACAGCCATTCCTTGAGCACCAGTGGCGCCTACACAACATGCACCTCAAGCAGCAACCCCGTTTCACGGCCCGCCTGCTTCGTCAACTACAAGAATACCTCGGCCAACACACATTACTCCACCATGCTGACCATGAACTCCAACAACTTAGGCTATTCTGCCCTCGCCAATATTTCACGGGCGCTTTTGAACACATGGCAATCCCCTGAACTTTTTTGAACCACTTCCCCACCTCACCGCCGCCAACATCCACGACCTCTTGGCAGCTACTGTTCCTCCCATACTGCGCACCCGCTACAAATGGGGCTTCCGCAAAGATTTCAACATTCCTTACGGAGTCGTTCACCTCAAAGAGAAGAAGCAATGGCAGAAAGGCCGCACCATTATCTCATATTTCCAATCACTCAGTGGCAGCCTACTCCGCATCACCAGCCGGGCGCTTGACATTATCCTTCAACATCTTTACCCCCAACACCCCGGCCAAATGTCCATTCCCCAACTTTGGCGCCATTTTCACAGTTACCTCACCCAACCCCCACCAGACATTTCATTGCACGCTACCAACGATGACCTCGTCGGCTTCTTCAACTCGGTCCCACAACACCGACTCCTCGATGCTGTTCACTCTCTCATCCAACACTGGCAACAACAGCAATCCACACACACCCTGACGGTGGATGTCCAGGCTACCGGCAACCCTTTTCACCACTCACACATTGGCAGACACCATCGCAAACACCCTACCCAACGCACCATCCAGACATCCGACATCACCACCATCGTGGCTTTTGCCCTCAACACATGCATTTTCCGGGCTTGCAACAATACTTACAAACAAATCCGAGGGGCCGGGATTGGATCCCAGCTCTCTCCAGCCCTATGCAACGTCGCCATCACCCTCATTGAGCATTCCTGGCACCAGATCCACAACAATCTACTTCAGCACACTGACCTTCACTTCACGTACTATCGATATGTTGACAACCGTTTCATCGTTCACAACGAACACTTCCTCCACCACCCGGCCATCCAAACCCTCATCCACCACAACTTCTTTGGCGACCCAGTGGAACTCGAACCGGTGGACGATTTTCATCTCCTCGGTTTCAACATCGACCTCCCACAACGCACCATCACCTACATGCAACCTTCCCAACCCTGGAAAATCAGGGATTCTACAACCGCCGGGAGCCAGCGCTTGGCTCTATCAGGCCTCCAATCACGACTTCACATTCACACCATTCGCAAATATACATTTCCACCCTCCAGCGCTGAAGCTGCTGCGGCTGAGCTCGTGAGGCTCTATGTCCAAAAAGGACACAACCACCACGCCTGCCACCGGTTTTTGAAAAAGCGCCGAATGCGGCGATCTGTGTGTGCCCACCCCTGGACAAAGGGTTTTCCACCGCTACTCCTTCCACTGTTTTTCAACCACCTTTTTCGACCACCTTCTACAGGCAGGGGGGCAGAGAGGACTTGCAAAGCTCTGCCCAACGAAGCTCTTTGCAAGATCCTAGGAAGCGGAAGCTGATCACTTCCGTGTACCTGCTACCTGAACTTTTGACCACGCTGTCTAATTTGCTTTGTTTGATTCCATGGTTCTTCATGCTACCTACCCCCAAACCCATTTTCCCACCGCCGACATGCAGCTGACTTGCAGCAGCGCTGAGTGTCCGTTTCTTCGAGTGCACTTGCAAACATTGTTAAAACAATACCTTTTCACGGACTCTGCCACCTTGCCGTTCCATCGCCATTTTACCTGGGAATTTGAGTGTAACTGAATACCAATGTCAGAGTGTGTGTGTGTGCGCGTGGGTGTGTGTGTGTGTCACCCTTGGAGTCATAGGGATGCTTTTGCATTTGTTTTACCGCAGGGGGGCAATGAACACTTTGGAAGGCATTGCCCAACGAAGACCCTTCCATCGTGTTGTGATATTCCTGAGGGACGCCTCGGGAACGTACCTGCTTTTTCCTTTTCCATTTTGAATGGCGAGAGGCTAAGCCAAGAACCTCACGACGCGGTTATGTTCAGAGCTTCGGTTCACTTTCTGCAGATGTGCGCGAGCCGCCGTCACCCTTTTCGACTCGCTCGCCGCCTTCGACCTTACGCTTTTGGCCTCACTTCCTCTTCCAGACCCCCAGGCTCCGAGGGCCCTTACTGGTTTTCTTAGGAAATGGAACCCTAGGCCGGCGAGTGGCACCGCGTTCACATCAGTACGCATATCCATGAGTGTGTTTGGCTTCGTGCCAACCCGGGATGAGCCCGCAGAGTGCCTCCCGTGGACCCGTCGAACGGGTGTACGTCCCTGTTTCCTTTGCTCTGGAAACGTACGTGCCCACAGCGGGCAGCAGTTGGCTAATGCCGTACGTCCGATGATTTATGTCTCATTTTTGGAATTCCAAGCTGGCTCATGCCTTTACGTGACCGCAGCGGTCAAAGGTGGCAGCCTTCGGGCAAGCCGTACGTGGTCGCAGCGACCAAAGCTTGTTCAAGGCTCATTGGAGTCTGTCGCGAGCTTAGTCCCCCCCTCCTCCCCCTTCCCTTCCCCTTTCTTTCTTTGCTTTCTGGGGTTTCCCTGAATGGAATACTCAGGATCTCCCCTCTCTTTCTTTGGTGTGTCCCTGGACGATCGTTCGTAGCTGGGAACACCTTCCTTTCTCTCCTCTCCCTCTCTCTCCCTCTCTCTTTCTTTCCTTCTCTCTTCCCTCTCTTTTCCCTCTTCCTTGGGTGTCCCTGGATGCTTTCGTCATAGCTGGGAACCCTTTTCCTCTCCTCGTTTGGTGTGTCCCTGGACGCTTGTGTCGTAGCTGGGAACACCTTCCTCCCCTTTCCTTTCTTCTCTTTCTTTTTCTCTTCTCTCCCTACCCCTCCCTCCTGTCAGGACCTTAGTGTGGGTTGCTACTAGGGGCTCCTAGCCTTCTTACTAGGACGCTACTTTGGTGCCTCTAGGGGTTCCTGGCCTTACTACTAGGCGCAGAGGTGCCTCCCCTCGGGGAGGCGTGTGTGTGTCACCCTTGGAGTCATAGGGATGCTTTTGCATTTGTTTTACCGCAGGGGGGCAATGAACACTTTGGAAGGCATTGCCCAACGAAGACCCTTCCATCGTGTTGTGATATTCCTGAGGGACGCCTCGGGAACGTACCTGCTTTTTCCTTTTCCATTTTGAATGGCGAGAGGCTAAGCCAAGAACCTCACGACGCGGTTATGTTCAGAGCTTCGGTTCACTTTCTGCAGATGTGCACGAGCCGCCGTCACCCTTTTCGACTCGCTCGCCGCCTTCGACCTTACGCTTTTGGCCTCACTTCCTCTTCCAGACCCCCAGGCTCCGAGGGTCCTTACTGGTTTTCTTAGGAAATGGAACCCTAGGCCGGCGAGTGGCACCGCATTCACATCAGTACGCATATCCATGAGTGTGTGTGTTTTTTTGTAAGTGTTTTGAAGTAGGCGAGACGGACTTGCGCACCATTGGTGTGTCGGGTGATACAGAAGCACTATGTGGACCAACAACATCAGTCGCGGAAAGCGTTTTCAGAGTTTTGCTATCATGCTTTTGGGCTTGTGTAAGTTGAGTTGGCTGAGTTGAGCGGCGGAGCAGCCGTGACCAAACCCCAACAGAGCAGCAAAGTGCAGTGAAGGAGTGGTGTGCGCATTACTGGTTGTGAGTTGAGTTGGTGTGAGAGGAGGTGGTGTATGTGTCAGTGGGTGAGTCAGTGCGTGCGTGGGTGGGTGGGTGGGTGGGTGAGTGAGTGAGCGCGTGCGTGCGTGCATGGGTGGATGGGTGGGTGGGTGAGTGAATGAGTGAATGAGTGGGGAGAGGCGGGGACAGGACAGGAGGAGTCGCAATGCGTGGGTGGCCCTGTAAGGAAGAACGCCACACTAGCATAGCATGTGAGGGGAACAACCCAGATTGAGGTGCCCTCGCGATCCCGAAAGATGGGGTGACCGTACCTCGGCTGACATTCTGACGACGGTGCCGCTCATTTGTGTTGACATGTGTTGTTTGATTCTCAGGGTGTGCTTGTGGCAAGTCAGTGCCCAAGCTTTGGTCTGATCTGACGTGTCGGACACAGTCCGAATGGTTTGAACAACCCAGCATCAAGAGAACTCCACTTGGATAATTTTTGTTTTGCCCTTGAAACACCAGACTGAGGACGTTCAACTGCAGTCATGAATCAGCTCGTGTCCGCTTGAAACGCTTTGCCAAGACCTCAAAGAAAGGGAAAACACCTCCAGACTCCAGATAATTTGCTTTGGCAGGCAACTGTGTTCAGAAACCTCCAAATGGCAATGATGGTCTATCTATCTACCATGACTGTGTGTATATATATATATATACAGATTTAGTTTATTGAGGTTGGTGTGCGAAGAAGGCGCTTTGCTAAGAAAACTTGGTGAACATTCATAACTGACAAAAGGCTAGAGGCAGGACACAAATAAAGGCTGCAAAAACATACTTGCTTTTCACTCAGAATCTTTTGGAGCTCCAATTTTTGAGCTCTTGCATTTGATTTGTTGATAGTTGTATCGATTCCGACATTTTTGGCTCCAGCGTCTCGGGAGTGAGCACGGCCCAGCTGCCGGGCAGGTATTTCTCTTAGAGACCACGTAAAAATGGATACAGTCGTCTAAGAAACTGTTTGGGGGCCTAGAATCCTGTACACTAAGGAAGAGCGGGATGGCCTCCATCTCGGCAGCACCGTCGTACCTGCCGTTGGACTCGACCCCAGAATGAATGATTTGGCAGCAAGTGCATTCACTTAGGCTTTTAATCACAAAGTTTCAACGTTTCTTCAGAGTCTAAAAAGCCAAAATTCTACTGTAGCTGATTCCAGTGTGCTCAGCCGTGCTCAGGATTCTAGATCTAAATGACAAGTCACTTTTTTCTCCCCATAGACTCAAGAGTCATCCTCAAGTTTCAAGCGTGTTATAGACACAGCCAGAGGCTGTCAATGTTCCAACTTAGGCCCTCATTGACAAATGCATTGGTTCTCGCATTTGGGCGTCACTCTCAGCTTGTGGCTGTGAGGACCGCGCTTGTTCAGTCATTCAAACCTTACTTGGGTTTTGTGAGGTCATCATGAAGGGCGACAAAGAGATAGTGGGCACCTTGCGCGGTTTTGACGACTACGTGAATATGGTTATGGATGCGCGGGGCTTTGATTTGTACATTCACACGCGGCCGCACCATCCAACAACTTTGCTGACTCATGATGCTAAGGATGTTCGAGAGTATACCTTCACCCCACAGGGTAAGAAGATCACACACTTGGAGTCGCCTTGCTGGCATGGGCTTACCTTCATTTACGGTCACTGTGACGAGCCACGTGATTCTTTCCAAGCTGCACCCCTATTGATCTCACCATGCCAGTACTGCTTATTAGTGTTTAGTACTCGCAGACACGCAGAAGCTTTTTCTTGATGCAGTGTCGGTGGCCGCGGCAGGATATTACTCAATGGCAACAACATCACCATGTGGCTAGGAAATTTACTGTAAATTTTGTTTCTGGAGTTGCTTGAGTTGTTTAGGGTGCTGTACCTCCTGTGATATCTTGATATTGTTGTGTTGTTTTCTATGTTCGTGTGTGCCTCATCTTAGGATGATCCCTGGCGGCGACCCTGAGGAGGGCGAGAAAGCTGGTGCTGCTTGAGCAGCCTCTGGCTGCTTCAAAGCGCTTTGGTCTACACACAGTGGCCGTGCTGAAAACCGCACTAGGGCCAAATGTGTACAAAGATAGAAAACGCTCATGCATCTCACTATAGAAAAAAGACGATCTGACGATCTTGGATCTGAATTGGTATGGTCCTTCAGCTGTGAAATATATACACATATAGTGTGATTCAAATCAAATTTCTGGTTGTATTCTTTTGAGGAGAAAGGCAGAGGTATTTGTATAGGGAGAACATAGAGAGAGAGAGAGAGGGAGAGTGAGTGAAAACTGCTGGACATCAAAGTTATTCCCATGTGACATTTCTTGTCAAGAAAGAGCAGATATCTCTTTTTGCTGTTCTGTGGTAAGCAAGTTCATCTTGAGAAGTGCAGGTGCTCCCAACCGCTTGCATTGTGCAAGCAAACCTGCGACAAAAGACATGAGCGTCCAATGCTTGGAGTGCCGAAGTTCGGACAGGTCGTCTCAGTCAGGTGACCTTTTTTCATCTGATAGTGTGAAACTCGAGACATCGGTCGATCCAAGCTGAGTCCCGAAACCTCGGTTGCCATCCCGGCCCAATCATAGGGGCCGTATCTTACCCCAAAGCCATGCCGTCTTTTTGCAGGAAAAGGTTGTGAGGCGGCCGTGCGATCCACGTGTTCTACAGTGGTAGCGCGGAGCCCTCGGTTCCATCCAGGGCAAAGCTTAGGCCATGAGCGGGGATGAAGGCGGTCGCCGAGAAGAGCGACGGTTTGCAGCTGCCAGCACGGCAGCAGCCAGGACGGACTACATTCCACGAGACCGAGACCCACCACCGACCTACGACGGAGAGAATCCTGAAACCACCTTCCGACAGTTCGAAAAGCAAGTCCAGCTATGGCTGTTTGAGACGGAGGTCCCGGAGACCAAGCGCGGCGTCAAGCTCCTGAGACAGCTCACAGGAGTAGCCGCCACTGCGGTCGACGACATGGAGGTCAGCGAGATCGTCCATGAGCAGGGCGTGAAGAACATCATGCAGAAGTTGAGGGAATACTTCACGCCTCACCTTGAAGTGTCTTTGCCACGGGCCTTCGAGACCGCGGTCTACGGGACGCCCAAGCAGACCAAGGAGACCTTTGCAGAGTATGCCAAACGAATGGAGAGGGCATTCACGAATTTGGCCAAGGAGGGTGTGGACTTGCCGGCTGACGCCAGGGGCTACATCCTCTACCGTCAGGCCTCCTTGACGGAAGCTCAGGATCAGAAGTTGTTGACATGGACGCAAGGCAAATACAGCCGAGTGGAAGTGACCAGTGCACTCCGTCGCTTGGACAAGGTGGTGAGGGACAAGGCCAAGAGCAGCTTCCAGGTCGAAGGGACCTATTTGACTGAAGACTCCATGGGTGACCCCTACAACGGAGAGGAGATCTATTACACGATCCCGGACGAGGACGACGAGAACTTCGTGTACATCGCGGAGGGCGATTTGGACCACGTCCTGGAAGAGTCCGAGGTGATGGAAGCTTTGGCCTCATATCAAGAGGTTCGGCAGCAGCTCAAATATCAGCGCCTCAATCGAGGATACTTTCCCGGGAAGGGAAAAGGGAAGCCGAACTACCCCGCCAAGGGCAAGGACAAAGGAGGCGGCAAGCGGAAGATCCACATCGAACAGTTGAAGCTTCGCACCAGATGCCGACGTTGCGGCCAGGTGGGACACTGGGAGAAGGAATGTCAAACGAAGCCCAAAGATGACAATCGAGCCTTCTTTGTCCGCATCGAGGAGGAGAACGCAGCAGCGGCTGAGAGCGGCACCCACTTTTGGTTTCAGCAAGAAACCTCCGGACGACAGGCCAAAGATGGCACTGACGTTGTTTTTGACGACGCTGAGCGCTCCGATGTTGGGGCATACATGGAGCGGCAGCCTGGGGCTATCACGTTTTGTGGGATTTCAACACAACCGCATCACGGGGTTGTGGACACTGCAGCTGAGGGTGGTTTGGCAGGCACCGGTCCCCTCAAGAACATCGAGGTCGAGTTGGCACGGCGTGCATTGAAGGTTAGATGGATCCCCAAGAAGTCGCAAGCCAAAGGAGTCGGAGGGGCAGCCACGGTGGAGGGCACGGTTCTTATTCCCATCGGGATTGCAGGGGTGAATGGAATCTTAGAGTGCACTGTGGTTCAGGGAGATGTACCCCTTCTTTTACCCGTTCGTATGCTTCGTGCTCTCGAGTCGTTGATCGATTTGAAACGTGGAACTATGACACTTCAGTCGCATGGTCGAATTGTGGACCTCCATCAACTACCTAGTGGCCATGTCACGATCGATGTGTTTCAATTTGCATCCGGGAAGTTCGTTGTCCCGGACGACGCTGGCAGTCAAGAGGATTTTGAGACTCGGAAACCTTCATGTTTTGTGGCAGCAATGTCGGCTCAAAGGAGCCGTTCGCAATTCGAGCCAAAGACCGACGTCATCTCACCAGCTACCCATGTCGGCGCTGTTGGCGAAAGCAAAGCAACTGGTGGGAGTGCAACCGACTCAAGATGCCGTGCCCATGGAAGTTCATCCGAAGGTGTACAACTCCAAGGTACCAATTCGGAACTGGCGAGTCATCATGGACAAGATCGCCGTGATCCTCATCCTCGCAGCAATGCAGGACGCTACAGAAGCCTGGTGCTTGGAGTTGGGATCACAGCGCTTGGGCCCGTCCTCTGCCGACAGCCTGGAGGACTACTACTCGGAGGTGATCCGCACCGCCAAGACATTGGCGCCTTTGAAGAGCAAAGAGGCCCCCAGGACTGCGATCAGCGCATGCACACATCCCAAGAACCAGCTTCGTGGGGGAGGCAATGGCTCAGCCTCGTACATCGTGTGCCGGCAGTGCCATTCCAGGTGGGCCCACAATCAAAAGGCGGCAGACATCCGCAAGCTGCTGAAGCAAGGCCCCTTGAGCATCGCCCAGGGAGTTACTATCCCGACTACTCCATCGGCACCGTCGACTCCTCCGAGGGCAACCATGACTATGCCTATGAGTCCACCGATGGGAACTGGTGCAATGGAGGCTCACGGGATCTACCAACAGTTGATCCCCTACTCTCCGGGAAGTCCAAGCCAGGAGCAAATTGCCCAGCTGCAGGAGAGCATCAAGAGCCAAATGGAGGGACAGGCAGCGTTCCTGATGCATCAAATGCGGAACGAGCAAGCCGCATCGGTCATCAAGATGTCCGAAATGAACATGACGCAGATGCACCAGTTCAGCGAGGAGATGAAGAAGGCAGCTCAGGCCAGCCGAGAACAAGAACTACGTCAAGAGAAGCTCCTGCAGATGTTGGTGCAGATGAAGGAGGAGCAAGCCAAGGCGGATCCAGCGGCGAGTTCAAGGGCGATGCCACCTCCAGCGGCCATCCCTGTGTGCAAATGCGGGAAGCCTGCGGAACGACTGCAAGTGAAGGAGGAGGAGTCTCCAAGGAAGGGCCGATGGTTCTGGAAGTGCATGCAGCGCCAGTGCGACTACTTCGAGTGGGAGATGGAGGAGGTCGACCTGCTCAGCGAGACGACCAAGACTGCGGGCTCCAAGAACCCGCGAAGGTCCAAGAGCCCACGGAGGGATCTGAGGTCCAGCGGGCCAATTCCGCCCACGCTGCTCACCGCAGTTCCACGCGACAGCTGGACGAGGGTCACGGGCAGGGAATCCGTGATCAATGTCGACCAGGAGGAGGAACTATGAGCTGGACTACTTGCAGTACTCCGAAGGGCATTCGGTGGGCCCGGAAGGCCCAAAAGGGACAGCATCACTTCCTGATGGCTGATGAAGAGTACATGATTCGGGATCCCGTGACCGGCAATTGGACAGCGAAGAAAGGATTGATCCCAAAGGATGCAGCTGAAGTACAGGTTCAACTGGACCTCACTCGCCGGGGACATCACGAAGACCGGTGGGATGAGCTCAAGACGGCGGGATATTCCCGAAAGGACCGACAAAAGCTCCAAAGAGCCATGAAGGAGATGGACATCCACTTCGGCAAGGTCAGTGAACTATACAGCCCACCTCGCATCAGTCCGGAGGCAGCAAAGCGAGGCCTGGAGACCGGCGCGTGCTTCGACCTCCAGACTGCTTGGGACCTCAGTCGGGAGGAAGACCGGCGCCAAATGTGGAAGACCTTGCGAGAAGAGAAGCCCGACGTGATCATCGTCTGTCCACCCTGTACTGCCTTCAGCCGAATGCAGGCCCTGAACAAGGGTCGAAGAGACGAAAAGAGAGCCCTACAAGTGCTTCACACTGGCCGAGAACACCTTCGACTAGCCGCCGCAGTCATTCGCTGGCAGCTGAAGCAAGGGAGGAGCATTGTGTTCGAGCGTCCATCCACGGCAACCTCATGGAAAGAAGATGAACTACAAGAGCTGCTGGCCCGTCAAGTCGACTTGTATCAGATCGACAGCCACATGTGCGCCTTCGGCATGAACGTGACAGGCAACGGTCTGAACTTGAAGCCAACTCGGTGGCTGACAGACATGGAGGAGGTGGCTCAACGCCTCAACCGAAGATGTGATGGCACACACGAACACGAAGCACTTGAAGGAGGCAACAAAACCAGACTTGCACAAGTCTACCCTCCGGAACTGTGCCGGCAGCTCGCAAAGGGGATACAAGAACATCTGACGAAGAAGTGTCCTCAGAAGCACTACATCCTGGAGGTGTTCGCCGAAGAAGAGTCCGAGGCGGAAGAGATCGGGGACGACGACCACTCCGGCGAAGCGGAGGAGGAGTATGAGGTGAGTGAAGAAGAGAAGAAGATGATCCTGAAGGTGCACCGGGCAGTGGGCCATCCTCAACGGCCCGAGTTTATCAGGTTTTTGAGAGCAGCCAGAGTGAAAGGAGAGATCATCCGATGGGCCGCCAAGGAATTCAAGTGCGATGTGTGCGAAGCCAAAGCACACCCAAAAGCGGCACGGCCAACTACGCTGCCTCGTTCGTTCCAACCTGGCAGAGTGCTCGGACTCGACCTCTTCTACATCGCGGCTCCCGGTGGTGGCAGGCTGACTACGCCGGTTTTGAACATGGTCGATTGGGGCACCAACTACCAGATGTGTGAACTGCTGAGCTCAAAAGGTCCAGAGGAGATTTGGGACACTTTCATGTC